GATGTCTCCTTCGTATTTGTGGATTGGCTATTGAATAGTTATATGCTGTATGGTCTGTTCTGGAGTCATTGAATTGGACAAAATATTCGACGAGAATTGAATTTGTGTAGGAAGGGCAGATATTGCCGTTGCTACATCCAAATCTAGAATAAACATCCATAAAACATTCAAGAGATAAGCCACACACTCACTAACGACATTGGCCAATCTGTCCAAAGTGATCCAAGACCGTGGTTACTGCATTTTTGTTTGAGCAACTGGCTCGCAAATTTGACTTTTTTTGGCAAAAAAAAAGTTCTGGAAGGAGCTTGACCAACTGAGAGCATCTGGTGAAGGCCTGTTAAAAGACAAAGAACAGAGCGAATCTCATCCAGAAATCTGCACGCACTAGCAGGGGAACACACTCTGGACTTAGCGAACTCCGCAGCAAAGTACTGTGCTCCCATGTGAGCTGATGGTTACCACACCAAACAAATTGTCTCTTGAGTTCTTCCCTGTTTAAACAATATAAACAAAGTAAATTCCTTTAATATGGTCATTTCGGCTATCAAACAATCCTCCTGAGATCTGAAGATAGCAAAGAGCATTTCACGAATACAGCCTTTTCCAAGCCAATCCGAATCTGCCCATACACAAAGGTCTACAAAAAACTGCTGAACCATTGAAATCGCGTAAATAAGTTTTGACCACAGCTTGGGCCCTTGTGGATTAAGGCTTTAGGGACTCAAATTAATTGTGACAGATTTCAGCGAACACGATTATTCCAAACAAGCACCTGATTGCCCTTGATCCCGCTGAAGAATCTCCAGGATTTTACCTACCTAAAAAGCAATAGATCCACATTAAATAAAATCTTTACTTCTCACAGCAGATGTGCTCTTTACCTTTACAAGTGGAAATTGAAAGAAATCCCAGAATGCAATTACAGAAAGACAGAACCAACGCATCAGCCACATGGTGAACCTCTGCCAAACTCTTACATTAAATGGAGGCATTGATGCAATCCACCACATCAACTGAAGCCATTTCTGGACATAGACTTACAATTTGCTATTCATCCAGCCATATGCAAGAAAAAGACTGGTGCATTCTGATTGCCAAGCTGAATTTTGCATCCATAATGCAAGAAACCAGAGGCTTAAAATGCGGGGGTCAATTGTGACCAAAGTAGCAGTGTTTTGATTTGCTGCCTTGTGGTTATATTTATTTAAATAGATGCGCTAAACACAATGGTTCGCGTCTTGCTGTGTTGTCAACACACCGTGATTTTCTATGCTGTAACTCACTACTTTGGTGTAGTGTTTTAAATATCTGCTGTTCTTTCACTCGTTTAAGAGCACATCTTGAAGTTTAGCTGTCGACTGTGCAACAGTTGCATTATATGGCAGTAGGAAGTAAGTGACGTCGAGTTACAGTGGCATCAGAAATATTGGTTGTTAGCATCTGCCAATCTGTGTCTTCAATGATGTCCTTTGAATATATACCACTGAAGATATAGATCCTAAAAGAAAAGTCACACAATGGCCTCTTAACCCAGACTAGGAGTATTCCAAGCACCATGAACAGAGTAGAACATTTCACCTCCTAACAATTGTTCCAACACCTCGCAGAAATAAATAAAAATAAAGCTGCTATTACCCAAAGCATCGTACACGAGGGTTTTCTTTGCACATCATCGTTGATATGTTGATAACCTTATTGATGTTCATGCAAGCATAGCAATATAATATCGTACAAAGCTCATGCATTATTATTTCGGATTTATGGCTGTGTTCCTAAAGTGTTTTTTTTACAATAGAGGGCTTATGTTGATTCTCAAAAAATAAGTGTCTGAATATGCTGAAATTGACTTGGTAACAGCTATTTAATTATATTTGTGTATATATTACCTGTACTCTGAAAGTATACATGCGGCATTTATCCTCAAAGAAATAAGACATATATTCAAAGTTAAAGTGCGTAGCTCAAATAAGTTTTGGGGTGATTCTCATCTCGTTTGGTATACCTTAAAGTAGTGGTGGAAATGTCACACTTCCACATATGCTTCCAGTCGCTATAGGATGATCAATGTTGACTTTTCAACGAGTACCAATGTTATGTACTTCTTCTAAATGAGACAAGCTCTCTAACCAGAGTGCCACACAATTTGACAGATGCATATGACATCTAACACACAACAACAACAGCCATTCGCCACTAAGTGGCGGTTACGTCACCACGACGCTTGTGCCAGGCCACGTGCACCTTGAGGCCACGTGAAGTGTCGAATGCCCGCTGGCAGGAGGTCACGGGGCAGACCCAGGTGCCACGGGTCAACTGACTGAGATGACCGAGATGACTGGCTGATGCACCACCTGTGCCCCCTACTGTGCCAACTTGCTGTGCTTTAGCCACCCGGCGCTCCGCTCGTTGTTGTGAGCGTCGCTCCTCCGCCCTTCGTTGTTGGAGAGCGACTGCCTCCAACTACCCAGTAGCGTCCTTCACGAGCCTCCTCCACAGAGGCCGATCTTGACACCGCTGGTACCAGTCATCGGCAAGTCCACTCAGCTCCACGTCCTCCTGTACCACATCACTCAATCTCTTCTCTAGCCCGTGCTGCGCCCGTTTAGCCCCCTCGATCTGGCCAAACAAAAACTGTTTCGGCATGCGGTGGCTGGGCATGCGGACTACATCTAACACACGAGTACATCATAAGACTCACCAGTGAGGCAATAATAAACCCTATAATGCATTCCTAAGCCTTACACTAATCCTAACCACCCCGAACTTTACCATTTTACAACAAATTACTTTTTCACTGAAATTACTTGTCTGTCGCAAGTAACCCACTTTCCATGTTTTGTGTATTCCGTGTATGAATATATTGCGGTAAAGATTGGTGGTGCAGTGGTCATCACATTGCACTCTGCAAAATTCTGACGAGAGTTTTATTTCCAATGACAACTAACACCAACCCACATTGACCAGGATGGTGAAGTATAGTTAAATAAACGCCCAAGACCAACGTGGGGTGGGAACTACTTCCTTTACCCAGGAGGAGATTAACAAAGGGCCGCAATGAATGCATTTTTATTTTGAGTTGTGTCCCATTGGAATGTACAGAATTCATACATTATTGTGCTTTCCATTCGGCAAACATGTTATAGCCGCCTGAGCAAGTGGTGAAAACTTCCATATTTTTATGGCAGGGGCCACTGCTCTCATAGCACAACCAATGATGACACTCGCTCATGTTCTCAACCCCGAGACAGAGGGGAGAACTGATGGCAGGCCAAGCCAGGGTCTGGATTTGACCTCGCAACCTTCCCAACCGCGGTGCATTGTCACCGCCGTCTCGGGAACAGCGCCACCTCCGTCGTAACCTGCAAACGTGAATCCACCCTCCATCCCTGGCCAGCCCGGTTGATGGGGACGGTGGAGGAGGGGCAAAGGGCAGAGTGTGTAGGGATTGAGTTGTTGGTGGTCGTGGTGGGGGGGCAGCGTGAGTGTACCAGGGCTCCAGAACAGACCGCACAACATAGAACGGTGCAATGCCCCGATCCGCAAATAACGAACGAGACATCACAGCGATGACACGATTATCCGGGCTGGGCCGCCTGAAATGTGAAATTGTAGTCGTTGCACCGTATTCTATTCCATTCCAGATACATCAGCGATGCGTAAGAGTCAGTAGAATGGCTCCAGTGGCCATCAATGTTAGCAAGGGGCGAGCTGCCCCCCGGGTGCCCCGCCACTCCCCCGCACCCCTCGGGGCTCGCTCCGCGTGCTCCCACGGGGCCCCCTGCTGCTTGCCACGCCTGCGGTGGTGCCAAGAAGCACGTGGCAGGCAGGCAGCAGTGGTTGTTGTTGTTGCTCAGTTATCATGGTGGGGTAAACGAGCACTGAAAGGTGGATGTCGACGTGACACCCTTGTTGAGTGGCCGAGAAAATGACCCAAAGCCACATGCAGCCTAAGATTGGCTATTTAAAAATAAATAACGGTCTCCGATTGGAAGTAAGAGGCATCCCACGGTGATTGATCGGGAGGCAGACTTGGGGATGCAGGGTTGAACGAAAACACAGAAAGGATCCGTTTAAGGGAATGTACAGGGATTGACTGCAGGTAAAAAAGAAGGTTCGAGAAAGGGGACTGATGGATAAATAAGGGGAGAGCACGTGGAGTGTGGACGCTCGGAGGAAGATACAAGCAGGAAGACGAGGACGAAACCTGGGGACCCCTTATTGTGGAAGTCTTCAGTGGGGTTTCTTATTGTGGAAGTCTTTACATAAAAGTGCCTCTTCTTATTACGTTGTCGTCCGTTGCAGCTTCGCTCCTCAATTTGACCCCTTGCCACGTCCACGCGTTTTCGTCAGCACGACCTCCACGTGCGACGTTGGGTTTGAGTCATTCGTGACATTGTGGTGGCGGTGGTGGGCGAGAAGGGGGCTGGGTTTAGCAATGAGGGGAAACCTCTCTTATAGCTTCCTCGTGTAAATACGGAACTCTAAATGCCGTCACATTTCCCCATGCGCACAAGGCCCTCTCTTCGGCAGCCATCCATTGCGTTTCCGTTTCTATACATTGACGTGTGTGCATCCTTAATGCCTACTCATTGTATATACAGCGTATTCAAATGCACGTGTGTACACATTCATTGAAGCACGAGCATGGTTGTTACTATATGTGTTCAACGATAGATATATTAACTTGTATACGTGTGCTATGTGTCTCTGTGGGCATATTTACATCCTATTGTACGGCTACAATTGGCAGAACACTGCGTTGAGCATCAAACGCGACTGCCACATGCTTTCACGTGTGAGGCTGGGCAGTTGTGGCTCACACCTCCTGCTGCACAAGTGAAAGGCTCTTCTGTCTGTCAAAGACCCAGGGCTAAGGGGTTGCTCCTCTCATCTCATTGGCTGGCTCACACCGACTGGGATGTCACCAGGACATAACCGTGTTTAATTAATCAAAAGCAAACGTCTGTAGCCTCCCAACCACACCAGTGACAGCCCCTTCAGTCGGAGGCCAATCTTGGATTTATAGCGTGCGCATGCAACGCATTCACCTGCGTTTGCTACCCAGGCAGTCCGAGCGAGTAAGGAGGGATGGGGGTTGCACCAAATGGATTTTGCCACCCCCTTGAAAGCAGAGAAGTGGAAGATTCTGGTCATGTGACAGCAGAGTAGATAAAAGGGGCAGACGGAAGGAAACTGGGGCACTTGAAATGTCTCAATCCCGAGGTGGAGCAGCTTATTGCAGGCGACCCAGCGAGGCTGCACTCGATATTTTGGGATTTACTATCCCATGGACATCTGAAGAGTCATCCAGAAAGGGTAAGTTGTCGACTTTGTATCTCATTTGGCTTTTGGTAGGACTATGGACACTGTATAGAACACTTGCAAATGGCTACGTTCTCCTGGATAGCACTGTTGGACTAAAACGTTTGCTTATATTTTCAATGTGGATGCACCAGGTGAGCACTTTTTTACTTGTACACATTTACCATTTTGAGGAAAGTGTGTTGCTAAATCATGGTGTATCGTGGTGGAAACCATCAAGAGTGTCAATATAAACGAAGGCGCCACTCAATAGTGTATTGTAAACTGAGATTTGAGAGTGAAAGCAACAACAGGTGGGCCCTTGTAAGACCATAATACTGTAATGTATTGCAGTAAAGGGCTTGTTTTTTCAGGCCTGTAATCCATACAGAGCCAGAAGGGTGTTGCAAGAACATCAATCAGATACATACAATATCAACATGTCAATGTCAAGTTCCAAGAAAAACGTAATTTCTCTTGACAGGTACTGGGATAAGTCATATTTCATTGTACAATGAGTAACCACCACCTGGCAGGGCCTGTCAACTTGAAGATCTTTTCCTTTGATCTAAACTCCCGTGAGCTAGGGATGGTCTTCAGACGTTTATTTTGGCGTCAGCTCAGACCAAAGGAATGATGAAAACGTCAAGACATCACTTCTTCTCACGCTATGGTCTATGAATTATGGCTTAGAGACGTTTTCTTGCAAAACAGAGCCACCTGCTCAGCCTATCAGAGGCCTGGGACCACTTTTCAGGCGGTTTGTGGCTTCTGAGCAGGCTTGTTAAACCGTAAACACACAATAGTGAGGCATGCGAGCATAACCAAGCACATACAAACCCTCTGGCTGAGTCTCTTTATTGCATTTTTTAGAAAAAATATAAATCTGTGTGGTTTAACTAGAACATTTTGGCCTTTTGAGAGAAACATGTGGCCTGGGAGGTCCCAGACTTGAAGTCTCCACCTGGATTTTTTGGATGGAATGGAAAACAGTCTGCCTCAACATGTTCCAGAAGTCCATTGTTTGCAGACTACTGAGTCTAAAATCACCAATTTGCCTTACTTTTCTCAAGATTTATTGGAGAATTCACAATGGCGGCTGGCTCCATGGGATGGCATGGCACGGTGCAATGGCAGCAGTAGGCTGTATGGCTTATTTTGGGACGATGTATAGTGTCCATTGTAATTAAACCCATGGGTTTTAAGTCCACGGAAAGTTATCATTTATGCATAAAACATCTCCAATAGTTTAAAACGCACAATTACACACACTGATGTGGGGTGCTTTCAATTAGGTGGTGCATTGGACATTCTTTTTCAACTCATCAAGAGGCAATTGGCGGGGAGTGTGGTGTAAATTCAAGGGCACATTTCTTGAACAGACGGTGGTTACAACACAAAATCACGATGCCATGGCAAAACCTCGGCTTATTCATTTGATTACACCCCTACCACCCAAAAAAATACTTTATTCGGCCAAACAGGTGACCAAGTCCACGGACCACAATACTGAAATCCATGCTCGGTGTGGCAGCGATTGCGTCTGTGCGCCTGTGGGGGGGGGGCCGGTTTCGTGCGGGGTTTGGCGTCTGCGCGCGTCTCGAGGCGAGACGTGGGGGGCGCCTCTGCCGAGGCAGCTGGCCGATTCGTGAGACGTTGCGTGTGACAAACAGGGCTCGGTGTTCGGGCCGTGGTCCTCTCTTCGTTGCGGCTGCCTTGGGTCTGCGATTTGTTTGAGAGGCAAGCCCGCCATGGGCCCGACACTGTACGCTGCGGGTCGGGGACCACAGGAAGCAAAACACGCGTGGTGACCCGGAAGCTTTGATGATGCTGATGATGATGATGGTTCTTGTGCCTCGTCTCACTCGTCATCATTCCACGCTTTGTTTCCACCTCTTCTGGAAGACTCGCCTCGTCTGCCACCCCCTCCAGCAGATGCATTTGGCTACCCCTCTAGGAAGAAGACGCTTTTGTCATTTTTTGCGCAGCGGTGCCTCTTGCCGTGCGCGCTTCTACCCCTTCTGGAAGACGCGCGGCGTGGCGGAGATTGTGGGGGGGGGGCCTCTCCGCCGGTGGCTTTAGACTGCGACCACCAAACGCCAGCGAGAGAGACGCATGAGAGGGTGGCGATGCGCACAAGAAGCTAAACGCCAAAAAGCGAGAGTTTAACAATAAAAAACACTGAGTTTGTCTCGAGACGACGACGATTTAAAATTGCGCAGCTCCAGCGGCTGAAGCAATATCTGGAGGTGGAGGAAGCGTCCCTTGTGGCAGTGGCCGTCTGCATCGCCACATGGCGTTGTGTGTGTGCGGGGTGGTGCTCTACAACTCACAAGCGGTGTGCTGTACTTATCGCCACGAATTGGGCACGTTCTGTTTACGTGACAAACATGAATGTATTCATTCTAGATTTGAAGCTTTCGTGACTGCAAGGATTCATATTCTTAGGTTTTTTCGGTAAAGTCACGTGACTTTTTAAATAAAAGTAAAATATTTTTATTTTTTATTAATTTTATTTTTTTTACGTACGTGACTTTACCGAAAAAACCTAAGAATATGAATGTATTCTTTGGTTCTTTCGGTAAAGTCGCGTCGATAGAAAAGTGTGGCTGCAGTATGGGCTGGGCAGCGAATGTTAATGTGGGAGACAACTTCAACGCAGCAGATCTACACCAAATCAAAGGGCCGCCAGGCAATCATTGCACCTCGCTCCTCCACACACCACACTGCTGATGGTGGAGGTTGACAAGAAAACACGAATCAAGTGATGACCCAAAGTGGTGAATGACATCTTTTCAATGATTGCTGAGTTTATTACCATCCTCTCGGTTGAAATTGTCTGCGTATGTTATATATGGATGGCTTCGTGAACGAATCTTTGTTGATAGCCAGTGGGCTTGCAAAGTACCATCGTCTTAGAGAAATCTATTTCATGTGAGCCAGCCGCATTAAAATAATGATCAGCCACGGCAGAAGTGTTGGTCCTGCCGTGTTTCAGATCTGCCTTATGCTCACGAACATGGTCCGTGACATGTCGCTTAGTTTCCCCAATGTAACTGCTGCCGCAGATACAGCTTAGTTTGTAGACGCCGGGGTATGGCATGTCAGGAATCTTGTCCTTCACAGATGGGATCAGATCACGAATTTGATGTACTGTGTTAAATCGGACCTGAATCTTGTGTTTGTTCATGATTTTGGAAAAATGTTAGGTTACCCCTGCTATGTTTGGCAGGGTGATGGTTTTGATTGGATCCTCAGAATGCTCCTTCCTCGCGGTTGGGGTGATGGCTTTGCGGATTGTGATTAGTTTCAACTTTTAGAGTAAATGATTGTGCAGTACTCTACACTAATGTCAAAGTCAAATAAAATAACATTTTAGAACAGCATATTGACTGGCCGTTTGGAGCAATGCTTTCCAGTGACACTTAATTCGCAGATAAATGTTGTCAGGTTTCAACTTTAATGTCTCATGAGCAGTGTGGTCTTAACAAAATAACGTCTGGATGATGATGTTGGTGGTGTCTAATGTGTCTGTATCTCGGATCAGATTGCCATGCTGACAGCAAGGCCTACGGGTATGGCAAGAGGCACTTTTGGTGAATCTGCCCCTGCTTGCAGATCCTCTTGTTGACATCCCTTATACCTCCCCACCCGAAATCACCCCCCCCACCACCACCCCCACCATCACCTCCCACCACCACCTCCCACCACCACCACCTCCAACCACCACCCCCACCACCACCTCCCACCACCAACACTCACATCGCTGGATATCCCTGGAGGCAGGTTTGGCGAGGTAGAGGAGGATAGCTTAAAGCTGATCCTCCCGCTTTCAACAGTTAACATGTAACAACACAGCAACAGACATTCACTGTGAAATCAATCCTGACGGGTTCTTTTCAAGCCACAGTAGTGTTGGAGTGTGGCCATGCAACCCACAGTATGGAGATTATATTGTAAACCACATGTCTGTGCTCCTTCAATGGAGGAGGAATAGCAAAACTACACAAACTCTCCTGTAGCCCTCTCGTGGCCAGCATACATTGGCATTTAGCTTCTGAACATATTGCTGCCATCGTACGTAAGAAGAGAATGCTTTTTTTTACTTAGGCGAATCACTGGACATGCTGTGTTTTATTTGCAAATAGAGATATAGCAGCAGTTTCATTTATACATGATATGACTGGTCACAACTGAGTGCTCCTGTATGATAAATAACTCCTAAAGACAAGAGTCTCGCTCATCAAAATACATAACATTTGTACCATCAGCCTTCTGCACCAATGCTTTCCAGCAGCATTTGTTTAAAACAGACAAGCTTTGGTTCAGTTTCAACTTTTAGAGTCTCAGCAGAGTCAGGCCTGTATAAACGATGGCAATATTGTTTCAATGGCATTCCTGTTTGATAAGCAACTGTTTGACAAATGTAGTTTATTTCTCTGCACAGCATTTCAATTCCAGCATCTGTCATTTCTCAGATGTGTGTCGCGTTAACATTTGGCCAAATCAAGTATTGGCACACTCCAGGGAATTAAGTCAAAGGAAAAATTGCATAATGAGTGCGGACTTTAAAATTCTATGGGGCATTCATGGACAAGAGTGGCGATTTAACTTTGTGAATCCTCATAAGTTGCAACCCCAGGGGCAAACAATTTAACCACAAGCCTTTTTGGCCATTAAGAAAATAAGACCCATAATTAAAATTATGGTCAACAATACACAGATTCAACAATCCACCTCTTGGGTGAAGTTAAAACTTGTTGATCGTTAAGGTCCCTTTTGAGAAACAAACTTAAAAAGTTGGGTTAAATGCTTTTGCTTTGCCATCAGTCAATATTAATGGTTATCTTACAAAATAGTAACACACCGTAGTGTTTATTGAATTACTGCCAGTCAGATCATAGTTAAGTCTCTCTGCTTAAGCAATGGGGTCTCTTTGATAATTGATTATTGGGTTAGGCCACGTATGATCTGACCAACTCCGTATTGTTAAGACCCTCAATCACCAGGCAGAG